CCCCCCCCACCCCCGCACCAAGGCTATGCAGGGTGTCCCATCATAGGTAATGGGCTCCAAAAACTCTGCTCATGCACCAGGGACAGATCCTGATCCTACTGCCAGGGGGCCCCTTAAGGAGATCAAGTTACACAACTATCTTGCTTATGCAGAGGGCCTAGTCCAGTCCCATGCAGGCACCACAGCTGTTGATCTAAATTTCATGAGTTCTCACTAGTTTGGTTTGGTTGTCTCTGCAGGTTTCCCCATCATGATCTTGATGCCTGTTGCTCATAGAATCACTCTTCTCTCTCTTCGACTGGACTCCTGGAGCTCAGCCTGGTGCTTGGCTGTGGATCTCTGCATCTGCCTCTATCAGTTACTGGATGAAGGCTCTATGATGACAGTTCACTGATCTGGTTGCTAGGGTAAGCCAGTTCAGGCACCCTTTCTACTATTGCTATTAGTCTAAGCTGGGGTCATCCTTGTGGATTCCTGGAAACTTCCCTAGCGCCCAGTTTCTCCCAATCCCCATAATGTCTCCCTCTATCATGGTATCTTTTTCAATGCTCTTCCACTCCATCCCTGTTCCAGCTCAACTATCCCATTCCCTTATGTTCTCATCCCCCATCCCCTACCCTCCTCAGCCCCAGTTTACTCATGGAGATCTCATCTATTTCCCTTTCCCAGGGAGATCCATGCATCCCTCTTTGGGTCCTCTTTGTTAGCTAGCTCAGAGTTGCAACTTTTAAGTGGTTCTTCTGTGTATCCTTTATTTGCCAAAGGTCTTGTTTGCATGTGTTATGAGCACATCTGTTCCTGCTTCATCAAATCATGGCTGTTTAAAAACCTTCATGAGATAACCTTTATGTCTGTCACCTTGATGCTGGCCTTTATTTTTCCATTTAGGTTAAAGTACTTCTAGTTCATTGTATGATGACATGTGCTTTTCAATTGAATGCATTTTGTCTTATGTTCTGAGACTCAATGTTTTATTTTAATCATATGCTTTTGCTAACCTTCTTTGAAATTCCTCTAGCAAGGACAGAGTTGGTGCTTGTAACTTCCAGGTGGGTGTAGAAATACCAGTTCTCCACTTGATCCATGGAAGAGAGGACTCCTCACAACTACTGGGTGAAGATGGGCATCACCTCCCTCCATGGTCTCCACTGGCACTGTAGTGAGCTGGGGACCCAAAACCAGCAGGTGGAAAGTTCTACCCCTAGAGTTGGTGGTTTCTCTACTTGGTTTACCAGATGGTCTGCTGCGTTATCCCATTACAGCCTTATGAGGATGAAAATTAATTCCCCAGTTTTGCTGGGTGCTTTATAGTGAAGCCATAGGTGGCACTGTGACATGTTGGCAGAGCCGGGTAGTGGCTGTGTGAAAGCTCCGTGTCTGCTTCGCCCCTGGTTCAGCTACAGGCAGGAAGCTCTTCCTGGGACTGTTCCAGTCTGCGTCCCTTTACATTCCCAAGTTCCTGGCTTCTTTAATACCTAGTCAGAGGTATATGTTACAAAACACAAATCCAAGGAATTCGGCCAAATACCATTCCTCAGATCCTGAGAGCCCTGGTTGTGCATTTCCTTTCCCTTTCAGCATCATATATATATATATATATATATATATATATATATATATATATATATATTAATTATATATTATATATATATTATATATATATTATATATATATATAATGAATCACATCCAAGGAACTGAAGTACCCACTAGACAGCTAGGAGACACATACCTGCTCTGTCTTCTCCTCCATCATCATTGCCTTGGCAGGAAAAGCACAGAAAGGGTGACATGAGGGGCTGTTTGTCTCCACATGAATGTGTCCTGTTTTACATGTGGAAATACGGTCTAAACAGGTGAAACCTTTGTTCCGGCCACACATCTGCCAAGCTGTTAGGAGCAGCCCCGCTAGAAGACAAATGACGCGGTTATCTAGCCAAGATTCTATCTATCATCTTTATTGATCTTATTTAGTGCCTTAGTGTGTGTATGAGTGCATGTGTGCACACATGTGAGGGGGTGGTTGCGTATGCTGATGTGCACCCAATGGTAGCCAGCGGACGGTGTCAGGTGTCCTCTGTTTTTTGTTTTGGTTTTTCCTCCTGGCAGTTTCCATTCCCCTCAGCCCTGTGGTTACAGCCTCACAGCTGGGGTTACAGAGTGGGAAGGTCAGCCAGACCCTGAGATCCAAATCCAGGTCCTCAGGCTTGCAGTGTGCATGCTTCCAACAAGGGAGCACACTCTCCAGCTCCTCTATCATCTGTAAATCGCACTAAAGAGTTCTTTTATCACCAGACATGTCTGCGAGATGACTGAAACCTCAGTGTTGACCTCAGCACCTCCTGTGAGGTCAGGCAAAGGTTATCTGACTCCTTGGAAGCCACATTCAAGCAACCAAACCAAGTAGCAACATGTCTGCACTCAAGCTTAGCTGACACTGGCGAGAATTTTTTTTCTTTTTTAATTTTTATTTTTTGCACTTGTAGGCAGTGGTGTGGGGTGGGGTGAGGGCTTAAGACAGAAAAGAAACCAATTGTTTATTTACGCAGACTGAAAGAAAAATTGCCTGGACTTGCTTCCTCTAGTGTAAGTGAGTGGCAGTTGCGGTTCATCTTAGTGGTCACAGGCAGCCAAGGGAAAACACTGAGAGACTGTGGGCTGCAAGGGAAGGCAAGAACATTCTATCTCCTTCCATTTCTGACCCAGAGTTGCCAGTATTTGAGTGAGATACTCTTGGGTAAGTCTAAGCTGACCACAAGCAGAAGATGTGAGGGATGTTGCAAGGGGGTATTTCTCAACAGCCTTTCCCAACCGACTGTGACGTCTGCTTCCAGGGAGCATTTAAAACCCTTTCTGCATCCGTTCAAACAAGAAGGTAAGCCAAACCTTTGAAGACACAAACTTGCTTCCTCTCAAAGACAGGCTTTCAAAGAGCCCAAGGCTAGATGCTTAGATAACTTGATCCTTCTCAGCCTCAGAGAATCGCTGAGCTGGGAAGATCAGAGCGAGGATTTTAATTCCCAGTCCGGGGGAGGGAAAAGAGCAAGACTACCTTTCTTATATGCACATCGACTCCTCACGGGCTCATGCTGAGGGATTCATTTTTTTCTAGCTTTTACTTCCTGTCACTGTCCAGTGGATTATTGGTCTAGCTCACAGCATCCAGGAAGTCAGCAGAGCAAAGGCAGCGCCCTCCTGTGGACCCTTCTGAAATTGGTTCCTCCAGGTACGGGAGAGAGCCTCAGAAGTGGCCAGGCTGTCCTGAAGCACACACAAAAAGGAGTTCTGCAGCGGGGGATGGGAGCAGGAGGCGGTGGGCACACGGAGCCTGCGCTCTCTAAGCAGGGCCTGGCAGGTGAAAGGACACCTGAGCGTTAGTCCAGGCACACAGTGCTGCAGACGTCTTAGGAAAAACCCTTATTCCAAGGATGGCTGGGAAGAACAGGCTCCGTGGTAGGAATTCCCGTGTGGCATAAAAACAAGCCAAGCCGTGTGAGCATCTCCCATTGAGCCATGTCTAGTTTTAGAAGGGATATTCTTAAAAGGGACGGCTGGATGAGGAATTAGTGGAGAGAGCGCTAGTTTAGAAAGTGTTAATATATGCTGCTTTCCCCCGGGTTTGTGGTCAGTGGCTCATAAAAGGGACTTCACGGCGGCGGTGTACACTTGCTGACCCGACAACATCCTTTTTAATGAGGAAAGCCAAGTTCTCAGAATCTGTGTGACTTGAGCCGGGTCCCACAGCAGAGCCGGGGCTGCAGCCGAATCTGACTCCACAAGTTCTGACTCCCAAAGTCCTGACTCTCCCTATTTTCTGTCCAGGCCAGTCACTGACGAAACAGTTCTATGAAAGCAGAGACTTGATAAAGGAACAAGAGGAAAGGGACTCACCAGGTCACTACCTCTCCTCCTTCAAAAGTAGCTAGTCTTTCCAGCCCTCCCTGCTGCCTATGGAGGTGGGGGTTGGGTGGGGGGGAGAGGAGACAGTGTCTCTTTAACAGTCTGCTCCTCGCCTCTGCTCATTTCAACTCATAGGCATTTGCATGTGAAAATTACCTTTTCCTAGCTCCGGAATTGATGTTTGCCTGTGCAAGGAGAGAGACCCCTTTCTTTGAAGCTTGAGAAGACACTGCTATGAAAAATAATTATTGTTTCCATTCTGATCGTCACCCTGTGGCCTCTTGCACCTCACACGTCAGAGTGTGCGACAAGAAACCACACACCCCAGCAAGCACCCATTGTATTTTAAGCACAGGCCCTTCTGAGACAAGCAGGCATCGCTTACCTCTGATTTACTATGCTAAAACCTGGACCCTGCAACTTGATTTGTCCTGTTTTTGTGTCTGTGTCACTTTCTGATAACTGCTGTAATTTGACTTCCCAGTGTACGGATCCATTTTGCAGGTCCTGGGGGCGGGGGTCCCTCTCTTTGCATGCATACAAGACTATCTCTAAGTCCAGTGAACAGGACAACTTGGCTGGAGTTAGTAACGCAGGACTGCTGACTTACACCGGTACCGAAGGCTCCTTCCTGGCAGTGCTCAGTCTCACCCTCTGCCTCCGCGAAAGCAGGGGTGTCTACATCCTGAAGGTTGAGTTTCCTCTCTGGTATCTACCCAGCTTCATCCATGTAAGCAGGAAGGTGGGGGCTGACTCACTTTCACAGCCTGCCTGTGGTAAGGATAATAGGAATGATGAACCCCGTCACATGATCTCCCTTCTCAGAGCGTCTTTCTACTTCATCAATGCCTATCTTCAGATTATCCTATCAAAACCCCAAGAGTTAGTAGATATGACCATCCCCATTTGAAATATGAAAAGTGCAGATTCAGGGAGTGTTTTCTCCCGACTCGTAGCAGGTATGGTATGAAGGCACCGTCTTGGCAAACTCTCTGAGGATGGTGTCCCCGGAGTCTGTATGGGGATGCTCACGCGTTCGTGCTTCAGCCCACACTTTCTGCTGTAGGTACAGGGATGCTGAAGGTTCTCTGTGACCCTCTGAAAGGCCTAGGCCATCAGAGAGAGCGACAACAATCCCTCTGCCAGCCAGGCTGCACTGCTGCTAAGCAGGGGCAGTCCACGTGACACTGTGGAGAGTCCCTGCGGCCCCTGCTTTGTACTGACTCAAAAGGAACAGACTGGGGAGCCACACCCAAAAGGGCCTTCATAGGGAACAAAGCTCAGAGAATCCAAAATATGTAGCCAACAGCCCCTCCCCCTCAGCTATATTAAATACAGTCACGCACTGTGTGTCGATGCGGTTTCAGTTAACCGGGGACCACAACCGCAGCCCCGTGAGATAGTGACAGAGCTGAATGATGTAAATGCTGTAGCCATCAGTAGTACGGAACATTATCAAGTGTCTGTGGGTGTCTTAGTTGGAATTTCTACGGCTATGATGAAACACCGTGACTATGACCAGAAGCAACTTGGGAAGGATAGGTTTTATTTCCTTTTACATTTCCAGATTAACAGTCCCTCGCGGGGGGAAGCCAGGGCAGCAACTCAGACAGGGCAAGAACCTCAAAGCAAGAACTGAGGCAGAGGCCACGGAGGGTGCTGCTTGCTTACTGGCTTGCTCCTCATGGCTTGCTCATCTTGCTTTTTTATAGCACCCAGGACCACCTGCCCAGGGATGGCACCACCCACAGTGATCTGGGCCCTCCAACATCGACCGTCAATCAAGAAGATGCACTATAGCCTTGCCCACAGGCCAGTCTGGTGGCATTTTCTCAGTTGAGACTCCCTCCTCCCAAATGAGCTTGTGCCACATTGATGCAAAACCTAGCCAGCACTGTGGGGATACTGGTCTAATTACCCAAGTCTGCTGCTTGTAACCCATGAAATAAACATGCTTGGAGACATCAATAGGGAGAACGATTCCATGCCTCATGACCCATCAGGGCAACCATACTGCTCTGTGTCTGTTTCCTGAATAAGCTTCTGACCCTCACAGTAGTACCACTGTGGTCACTAAAAATGAAAAGATTAGATTCCAGATAAGTCATGTGATGTGCTCAAGGTCATTACTCCAGACATTGGCAGGATTGGGTCCCACACTCAGGGGTTCTGGCACCAGGTCCAGAGCTAGCCAATACTCACCCAAACACTGAGAACACATGGCAGGCCTCCTGGAGACCACTAGATGGTCACTAATACAAGCATGTTCTTTGTACATTTGCCACACCCACAGAATAACATACAGACAAATATGCTAACTGAGGTATTTCAAAGAAGGAAATTGCCTATCTGGATGTTAGTTTGGAAAAGCTTCCTCCTGGTAACTATATTCAGGGCTCACAGCAGGGAATTTCAATGATGAACAACACCCTGGACTGCAAAGGCGAAGGTTAGACTTTCCTCTGAGTTGACTTTTTTTTTCTCTGCCCAGTGTTTGCAAAGCTCTGTTGCACAGACAAGGACTTCTGGAGTAGATTTTTATCTTCAGCACAATCTGTAGGTAGAACATGCATCAGTAACCCTCTTAAAGCCTTTGGATGATGCGTGCAGGAAGTGCTGTGAAAACCCCACTTCCTGTGGCACCAAAGGAGATAAAGGGGAATTGCTGGTGGAGACATATGCAGCAGAGAGGAAGTGCTAGGGTCCTAGTCTTCAAACAATGAAAATTACATGTCTTCTCATGTCTGGGGCACAGTAATCCATGAAAAAAAAAAGCTGCTGAATATAAAGTGGGGGTACCAGGATTCTCTGTTCTCCACTTGGTGACTGTAAATCCATCCACCCCCACCAGCCTGTGAAGTCATTGAAGTAAACACGTAGGCAGAAGGCTCTTGGAATTCCTCAAGGATAACTTAATCTATTTGCAATCCAGTTTGTAGATTAGGGGCTGATGCAAACCTCTGCTCCAGGAAGCAGGGGAGAAGAGGCACAGCTAACCCTGGGATGGAAGCCACAGAGCTGGACTGGGATCATTGAACTAGGTGAATGAGTATCTTCTAGAAGCTGCATCATCTGCCTTAGGTGGGCTGGGTGTGGATGTGTAGACAACTCCGCCCATTCAATGACCCCACTTCTCAGTTTTAGAAAATAATCTTGGTGTTGTTTAACAACTTATAAAAAAGGGTTATGATCTGTTGAGAAGTAAAACTGAAGGTCATCAGGCAGAATGTCTGCACCTCCTCTCCAATCTCATTACGTGTGCAGCATGTTCCATAAAAATGACTGCACTAGGAGAATTAGTGAATGCTGAGACCTCTGCTTGTTCAAGGGAGAGCAGAGGTGAGGCCCCTGCCAGTCCCTGGACACAACACTTCTGTCATGAGCATCGTACACTCCTGATCAATATACACCCTTGTTTTATTCATCTTTCTGCCTAAAGCAACTCCACTTACTGTAATTTTTGATGCCTTCACATTGAGCTTTCTAGCATCCCTGTACCTGGAAGCTGAGGCTTATGTAACCAACACACACATTTGTTTCCTCATCACAGCCTGCTTGTGCTTAAGGCCATGAACTAGCACTTTTGGTTTGTGCCATGAAAACATGTGGCACCAAACAGACCTTGAAAAGGCCCTTTCAAGTCTTTTTCTCACTTGCCATCCCTGTCAATGGCCATGAAATACCACAAATATTGATTCCAGGTTACAAATGAAATTTAACACGTAGGTGAATTCTGAATACAGAGTCCACAAACAAACGAGAATCAACAGTATTGTTTTTATCATCATGAAGTATTATTGAACTTGAAACATCACAGCTAAGCCCACGGGAGAAGAATAATGATTGTAGTCTACGCACCTGAACCAAGTACCAAGTGTCTTTCAAGTGAGAAAATCCAAATAGTCTCTCTCAGTGAGGTGCGTTTGCTTCCCTTTGCCAGTTACATAGAGAAAATAGCACAGGGACAAATAGCCAAACGAATGGAAACACATGAACTATGAACCAAAGGCTGAGGGGCCCCCAACTGGATCAGGCCCTCTGAATAGGTGAGACAGTTGATTGGCTTGATCTGTCTGGGAGGCACCCAGGTAGTGGGACCAGGTCCTGTGCTCAGTGCATGAGTTGGCTGTTTGAAACCTGGGGCTTATGCAGGGACACTTGGCTCAGCCTGGGAGGAGGGGACTGGACCTACCTGGACTGAGTCTACCAGGTTGATCTCAGTCCTCGGGGAGTCTTTGCCCTGGAGGAGATGGGAATGGTGGTGGGCTGGGGGCGCGGGGAGGGGGGCAAGAGGGGGGAGAACAAGGGGATCCTGATATATAGAATTATATTGTAAAATAAAATTAAATTAAATTAAAAAATATTAAAGATAAAAAAAGAAAATACAGTCAGATACCCATTCTGATCCTGGCCCTGGCCCTAAGTCCTCCAGACACCACACATGCATGAAGTTTGTCCCCAACTCTTCTTACCATGAATCTCTAAATATATGCGGACCCCTCTATTTTCCCAATCTGAAAATTTCATCCGTTAATAGCTTTTTTTTTTTTAATTTTATGCATATATGTGGTTGCCTGAGTGGCTGGATGGGCACCATGATGCCCTCAGTAGCCAGAAGAGGGCATTAAATTCCCAGAAAGTAGAGTTAAAGGGCAGTTAGGAGCCACCTGATATGGGTGCTGGGAACCAAACCCAGGTCCTCTGTAAGAGTAGCAAGTATTCCTAACCACTAAGATATCTCTCCATCCCTTTAATAAAAAAATTCTCAACTAATACTAAGAAACTGTAATATTTTAGATTAAAGACTCAAACAGTTTTAAAACATAGTACAAATAGTTTAGGCCAGGTTGCTAGGCATGAAACTCAGGCTCTCAAGCATGCTAAGTAGATGTTCTATCACTAACCCACACTCCTAGAACTAAGATTCAAAGACTTCCTGCCCCCCTCTAAATATCTCACAGCAGACCTCTGTGTATACTGTTCATGTTCCTTTCTAGCATCCCTGGAAAGTAGTTTTAACATCTCCAAAGACATTCACCAGAGACATCGATCTCTGCTGTTTAATTTGCTCGAGATATTTGTTTTTAAAATTATAAACAATAGGAACACTCTAAAATGTTTTTCCCACTCCACAGTGGTGGCATATCAGGAAAAGACTTTTCCTAGTTTATTAATAAAATATTTCTTTCTACTGCAGCTTTCAAGCCTAGAATTAATTGAGATGAGTAAAAGCTGTTTCTCCTATACATTGTTTTTTGTTCAGAATAAATAAGACACTACTTCTTCATAAAGAGAAGGTGTATGGGTTTGAATTTGGGGCAGTTCCCTCCTTTGCTAATAGACAGTTTGAGGCAGAGGAAAGGAAACATTCCCTTGTCTTTCGGTACATGCCTTAACACAGTTTCACAAACCTTCTTGGAGTTGCTCCATGAGCCATGGTCCCCACAGTCTAGTTTTCTGTCTCCTGCAGCTGTTGAACCCACTAGGATGCCGCATCTGGACTGTCACTAGGTGGGACTTAGAATCACCATGGACACAGATCTCTGGGCTTGTGTGTGAGGGACTGCCTAGATTAGGTTTACTGAAGTGGAAAGACCCACCTGAAATGCAGTGAAAAGATGAAAGCAAGCTGAGCACAGGTGTGGACTCCTCTGCTTCTTGACTATGGATGCAAGGTGACCAGCTACTTCCTGCTCCTGTCACCCAGGTGACTAGCTACTTCCTGCTCCTGCATCCTGGTGACCAGGCACTTCCTGCTCCTGCACCCTGGTGACCAGCTACTTCCTACTCCCGTCACCCTGGTGACCAGCCATTTCCTGCTCCCGTCACCCAGGTGACCAGGCACTTCCTGCTCCTGTCACCCTGGTGACCAGTCACTTCCTGCTCCCGTCACCATGGTGACCAGCTACTTCCTGCTCCTGTCACCCAGGTGACCAGACACTCTCTGCTCCTGTCACCCTGGTGACCAGCTACTTCCTGCTCCCGTCACCCTGGTGACCAGCCATTTCCTGCTCCCGTCACCCAGGTGACCAGCTACTTCCTGCTCCTGTCACCCAGGTGACCAGCCACTTCCTGCTCCTGCACCCTGGTGACCAGCCACTTCCTGCTCCTGTCACCCAGGTGACCAGCTACTTCCTGCTCCTGTCACCCAGGTGACCAGCCACTTCCTGCTCCTGTCACCCAGGTGACCAGTCACTTCCTGCTCCTGTCACCCTGGTGACCAGCCGCTTCCTGCTCCTCTCACTATTTGCTCCTTCTTGTGCTGGGCTGCATCCCTTAGAACTATAATCCTAAACAAACCCTTTCTGCCTTGGGTTGTTTCCCTTGGGCATTTTGCCACAGCAATGAAGTAAGTGCCTACCTAGTATGTAGAACTTCTGTGTTTAGTGGTAAGGAAAAACCTAAGCAAACAGAAGCATGGTTTTTGTCACTGTCAAGGGCATGGGCCTCAAAGTGTCACTGATTTCAAGAGATTCTGACCATGTGCAGAGTCTGAGGTCCAACTTAAACCAAGCCCAGGAAAGACATGATCTGGGTAATGGAAAGTGATGGAAAGGAAGTGGAAAGTACTCACAGGAAGTGGCTGCTTCTCCATAAACAACTCTCTAAGAGCCTCTTTCTGTCCAAGGAACTGTACTCTGAAGTTCTCTATGGCTCTCTACTTTTTTGGGAGCTGTCACAGTTAACACACTACTGTATACTTAGTCAAAATCCTGAAACTCAAACACCAAAACCCAGAATATTTTACTGTTTGTAAATTATACCTCAATAAATCGGGCATCTCAAGTTCACTGTGGACCCCAGGTTAGAAAACTCCATGCCTGCCAGAGAAGAGGCAAAGAATACCAAATCCCTTAGGTCAACTTTGCTACTGACTCCCTAAAACCATGCCTGGCCACCTTCTTTCAAGGAGTCAGAAGTCCTGAAGCCCGAGCCCTGGTTGTACTGTGTTGCCTGTGGGGAAAGCATTTAATATCATTATCCACTCCCAACACTGAGTGACAATGTTTTCTATCCCCACTGGGCAGAGAGATTTCAAGTATGAATGTGATCTTAATTAGATGCTCCTCCTTCCAACCCAGTTATGAAGATGCTTGCGCTGAGGTCACCAGAAGATGGGAGAATTTGATTAAAGTCAGTCACCAGGAAAATACCATTAGTGTAGATGTGAAACCTGAAAAGGACATGACAGGCTCCAATCTCCTCACCCACTGCATTGACAATTATGCTCTTAATGGGAGTTTCTATTTTGACTCTTCGGTATGTTCACGATATATTAGGAAAACAATCCATTTGATGTCCAATTTGAAAATATGAGCCTGAAAACATGCACAAACCTATTCAGGCACCATGCTGAGCTGTTCATCTCCCACAGTCCCAAACTGCTAGCCCCTATCAGCTTTGGTTTCATTACTGTGACAGCTGAACCAGCATGCTCATGGCTTGCTCTGCCTTGAATGTCTGGGGCAAGGAAAAGGATTGTCAGGTTATGTACTGTCAGTATTTTCTAAATTAACGTGAGCTCTGTCTGCATGTCCAAGCACATACACAATACCTGAGTAGCGGGAAGGTATAAGCTCAAAGTTCCATTTGACCAGGTAGCCATGTCATGAGAAGCCAGGTGTCATCCTTGTGATGTAAAGGAGAAAGTAACCACTTCAGATATATTTAATGGGTCAATTCTACACTAAAATGAATCTATGAAATATAGATACTCATTACTCATAAATGGGTGTATGCACTACAAAGGGGACTCTTTATCAGCATGCTGTATCTGCATGGTGACTAAGAACAGAGAGCCAGGCGAATCTGAGTACCATATGTACAATATGAAAGTTGAAAGTTTGTTTGGTCGGTTTTCACTTTGTTTTGTTGTCTATACAGGGTCTTACTATGTAGCCCTTTGCTGGCCTGGAACTCATGGAGATCCATCTACCTTTTCCTACTGAGTTCTGGGATTGAAGGAGTGTACCACCATGGCGAACAGTTTAAAGTTTATTTTTAAAAATGAACAAAAAGCAGTGGTAAATATCAAGATGCCTCTGCTGGTTCATAAAAACCCTCTTAGTCCAGTGTCCCCAGGACAGCAGTGGGACCACTGTGCCTGCCTGACTATAAAGCACATCAGGACAAGAGTCTTGAGGTGTATTCCTTCCTAAACGATTACAAACGGAACTCACTCTTCTAGATGATCCAGGCCATCGGCACATCTTTTCTTTATCTCTCTTATTTTTTAAGGGCATATTTCAATAAAGGAAGTTACCCTGTAGTTGTCATATGAAATGAATTGAACCATTTCACTTCCTAAACTAGTGCTGAAATGACAGAAATTGGATTTCTAAGGAAAACATGACAAGGACAGAGAAAGGAGAGAGAATAATTATGGAGCAGTGGGATTAGTGGACAGTTGGAATCCAGATAGGTTGGTGGAGGGGGTACCTGGCCTACCTCACAGGGCAGCCAGGACTTTGGACAGAAACTCACACTCCCAGGGTGCATGGGGGTGCAGAATTAAAAACAGACACCAGCTGTACACCAGCTGCCTGTCTTTCTTGTTGTAGACAGCTCTGCCCCATGGGACAGTTGCCATGGGTGCTGTGGCTTCACAACACCTTCAACTTGATCAAACCTCCACAGACCCTCTGTTCTGCAGGACCCTGTAACCGTGAAGCCTGTGGTTCCTATTAAGATCTGAGCCTTGCTCTTCAGGGTGGATATGCTCTTCAGCCTAGCTTTGGATGCCCTTTCAGAATGCCTGGCAGTAATGGGTCCCCTTCCTGGCCAGGGTGCCCTATCCTTGTTCCGCCAACCTGCCCAGTCTTCTAACCCACATCCCTTATGACCCATCTGTGTCCTCAATGTAGCAGCTTAGAAAACTGAAAGAAATTTCTCCAATTACCAAGAAAAGTTTAACTAATGGGGTCAATAAAATATGAAATTATTTTGGTATTCTCTGTCTTGAAGAGCTTGAAGTGTTTGTTCCCTTTTGATTGTGTAGCTTGTGATTACTTTTTCTTCTCTTCATACCTTCTTCTTATCTAATAGTTTTAATTGGTGGCCTTAAACTCCTGATCCTTCTGCCTCCACCTCCCAAGTTCCTGGATTGAGTGTGTGTACCACCTCACCTGATAGGCTTATATCTAAACATTCATTGTCATTTTGTATTTTTATCCACAAAGGTCAGACCCACAATGCTGAGATGTGATTTCTGCTTTTACCTCAATGTAAGAATCTTGTTTCTTAAATTGCTGTGGGACCACAGAGATCCTTTTGGAGGAGACCACAGAGGAGTCCAGGGGACTTCAAAGGTCTGGCTCCCCACACAGTCACTGCAAGCAGATAAAAACAAACTAAGTACGGGGTAGGGGAGGCCTGACCTGGCCACTTCTTATGAGGACAGATGACACCTTGTCATTGGCCTCTTGCCTCATATGTAACAAATAATATATCTAGAAGACCCTCCCCTAGGCCAGCAGCACCCTTAAGGGGATATGTATTTTTTTCAACAAATGGTGCTGGACAAATTGGACAGTTGCATGTAGAAGAATCCAAATGGATCAATATTTATCAACCTACACAAAAGTCAACTCCAAGTGGATCAAAGACCTCAACATGAGTCCAGAATCACTGAATCTGATAGAAGAGAAAGTGGGGAATAGCCTTGAACTCACTGGCAGAGAAAAAGACTTTCTAAACAGAACACCCATAGCACAGGCACTAAGATCAACAATTAGTACATGGGACCTCATGAAACTGAAAAGCTTCTGTAGATCCAAGGGCACCATCATCAGACAAAGCAGCAGCCTACAGAATGGGAAGAAATCTTTACCAGCTCTACATCTGATAGAACGCTAATATCCAAAATATAGAAAGAACTCACGAAACTAGATATGAAGAAAACAAATAACTCAGTCAAAAAATGGGGTACAGATCTAAATAGAGAATTTAAAAAAAAAAGAAACTCAAGTGGCTGAAAAACACTTAAAGAAATATTCAACATCCTTAGTCATCAGGGAAATGCAAATCAAAACTACTTTGAGATTTCATCTTACACCCAACAGAAAATGGCTAAGATTAATTAAATAAGTAACAGCTCATGCTGGTGAGAATGACCAAAGAGAACACTCTTCCATTGCTCGTGGGAGTGCAAACTTGTACAGTCACTGTGGAAATCATGTAGAGGTTCCTCAGGAAGATGGGAATCAATCTACCTCAAGATCCATTTATACAGGCTGCATCCTACCACAGAGATACTTGCTCAACTATATTCATTGCTGCTCTATTCACAATAGCCAGAAATTGAAAACAGGCTAGATATCCCTCAATGGAAGAGTAAATAAAATATGGTACATTTACACATATGTTGTTTTAAAAAAATGAATTCATGGAATTTGCGAGTAAATGGATGGAACTAGAAAAAAATCATCCTGAGTGAGGTGACCCAGGCTCAGAAAAAAACAGACTTGGTACATATTCACATATACATGGATATTAACTGTTAAGTCAATGAGAACCAGCCTACAATCCGTAAGACCACAAAGTGCTGTGGGTGAATGCTTGATTGCTTGCTTGCTTGATTGATTGATAAATAGCCAGGCAGGAAGCATAGGTGGGGCAAAGAGAGAGGAGAAGTCTGAGAAATGGAAGGCTGAGGCAGGGAGACGCAGCCAGCCACCATGATATAAGAAGATGAAGAGAAGCATGATGTAAGACACTGGTAAGCCATGAGCCACATGGCAAGATATAGATTTATGGAACTGGGTTAATTTAAGATATAAGAACAGATAGCAAGAAGCCTGCCATGCCATACAGTTTATAAGTAATATAAGCATCTGTGTGTTTGAGTCTGAGTGGTGGTTGGCCTCGGCAGGACTGGAGATAACTCCAGCTACAACAAAGGTTAGGTATATAGTAAGGGATTAAGGGGGAACAGATAGATCTCCCTAGGAAAGGGAAAAGAATAGTTATGGATGGATGGATTGGATAGATGGATGGGTGGATGGATGGATGGATGGATGGATGGATGGATGGATGGACGGACGGAGGGACGGACGGATGGATGGATGGAGGGATAGGTGGATGGGTGGATGGATGGATGAAAAAGGGAGGGGTGGAATGGGAGGTCAAGTGGTGAGAGGGAATGAGGGACAGAATATGGGAGGAGACAGCTAAAATTAAGGGCCATTTTAGGGGTAGTATGAAAACTTAATATAGTAGAAGCTTCCTAAAATATAGACATATATGAAGGCTATCTAGATGAAATCACACAAATAATTGGGGATACAGAGCCCCAACTGGCCATCTCTTTTCACCAAATGAAACCTATAGTTCTGGAACTGGGTTATATCCAATTGATTTGTTGGCCAAATGAGGCCAGTGAAAATGCCCAAATAACCCAGGATGTTGCCAAGACTATAGGTTGCTCTCCACAAAACTGACAGCAAGGCCCCATTGTTGAAAACAACACCTACACATGCCATTGGACATAGAGAAGTCAAGCTGGTGCCTACCTAGGGCCTTCACCCCTATGAGCTAGCATCTTTGGCACAGGAAGTTACTCTGTGTAATACCAAAAGAGAAACATAAACACCAACCCAGTCACTAACCTTTTGGTGTCCTGCCTGCAAGTGCAATAGTTGTAAAAAGCTTGTGGGAGTAACCAACCAATATCTGATTGGACCTAAGCCCACTCCTTAAGATACACAACACCACCTGGGTGACCAAGAACCTAAGACTGGATAGCCCAAGGACCTAGGGTAAATCCAAATACTACTGTTCTCTCTCTCTCTCTCTCTCTCTCTATATATATATATATATATATATATATATATATATATATATATATATATATATATATATATATATATATATATTTCAATAAAATGACTCCTAATGACATTCTGCTATAGTCACAGATTAGTGCCTTGCTCAGCCATCATCAGAGAAGGAGCTTCTTTCTGCAGCAGATGGGAACAAATACACAAATCTATAGCCAGACTACTCAGAGTGAGAAATCTTGGAACCCTCATCCCCTAAGGAGATGTCTCCATCAAATCCCTATGCTCAGGCGTTCAGGAACCCCACAGAAAAGGAAGAACCAAGGGGATGGAGGACACCAAGAAAACAAAGCCCTCTAAATCAACAGGATAGATGCATATATGAACTCACATAGACTGAAGCAGCATGCACAGGGTCTGTATGGGTCTGCACCAGATGGAAGTTCTAGAGCTAAACAGAGAAGTGAATGTATGTCCCTGTCCCCAACCCGGAAGCTGTCTCCAACTGATAACCATTTGCAAATGAAATTTTAGTTTCCTCCAAGGAAGTCTCAATGGGGAAACAGCTATTGCAGATGGCCTACAGAAAATGAACTCAAGGCCATCTTTGGAGATTCCTTTTCTCACAATGTCCTGTCAGGGCTTTCCTTTTCTTTTTCAAAGAAGAAAATTACCTTATTATTTTTTATTTTTATTTTACTTTATTTATATATTTTTTCTTCTCTGTTTTTGCCCTATAGGTCCTTTGCAAATATATTAAGGCTTTCGGTTTAGAGTTGTTTTGGGATTCGAGTGTGTAAACAATTGGGTCTCTGACTCTTTAGCCTTCTCTTGGGCTCTTTTTCTTCTATTTCTTTGTTTTGTCCAATTCCAACATGTTAGTTTTTTATATTATATTATGTAATGTTATGTTATGTTATGTTGTGATGTGATGTTATGTTATGTTATGTTATGTTATGTTATGTTATGTTATGTTATGTTATGTTACATTCCCTTAGAAGCCTGTTTGTTTTCCAATGA